GAAAGGCACACACTGTTTTCCCGCATGTCTCCTCCTGTCTATTTATACTTCTCAGTGACTAAAAGTAACAAGAAAATACTTTGCCAATTTCTATACACTGTACAAAATCCTAACTTTATAGGACCATCTGTACAACGTTATACTGTCATCTGGTGAAATGTACATATACAATAATAGGCTGACATCAGTGTATTTACAGATTTAGCAATAATACAGCAATTATTACTGCACTTCAAGCATGCACAAGTCTTCCCGCATTTGCTGGCTGTAGCCCTCGCGATTCAAGGCAGTATTGAATTGCAAGAGTAGCATTTAATGTACAACTGTAGCAGGCATAGGGTGTACTTATCAAGTAAAAGTACTGTGCATACTTGACAAAAAAAAAAAGATATATATATATATATATATATTTGCCTGCAGTATTTTTCTTCTTTTAATAGCAATTGCTTTGATAGTACATACGTTTCTTCTGTACATGTAATTTATATACATACAGTAAATTAACAAAGCATAGCCTCGAATATCTAAAAGCAGATTATACCCATGTTCAGATAATTCATGCAATGTAAGCAAGAAGGCAATTGACGTGGCATTCTGCTATTATATTAAGAAAACAGGCTGTACAGTATTAAGTAACATTCAGGATAATAAAAAACATGAGCATGTTAAAGGGCCAATAAACCAAAAATACAGATTGGCTTACAAAAAAAAAAAAAAAAAAAATTTGAAAAACATTTTCAGATGTTTCCAGAGTTTAGTAAAGCAAGATATTTTGAGAGATTAGCAAAATTTTACTATATACCAGCTTCTTGTCCTAGCACCCCTGGTTGGCAGCTTAAAATAATAGGTTGCATTTAGGAAGTGTTCACATGTTAAATATCTACAGGCTCAGTATAGTTATGGGACCTTTACATTTATATTTGTATGTGCTTTTAAAAGTTCTTTTAAACTTGAATTTTCGGTTTAGTGGTCCTTTGACATGATAGATTGTTATCTGTAAAACCCCTATGTAGAAGACTTTGACACAACGGATCTGCACAATATTTTTGTAACTACCTACAGCCTACATGTGCACAACTAAGCAATTTATGGGCTGCACTGCAGTGTATTCATTTACAGTAAACTACAGACATTCATTATTTTCACTATTTCTTAAGGAAGAATGCCACTTAGTATTCAAAGGTTAAAAAAAGAGCTTTGAGCCCAAGTATTCAGGATTTAATGTGTTTTATGATCAGCCATTTCTTTATTAAGGAATTCTTCTTTAAGAAAGACTAGAAGTAATTTTGCTAAAGTAATGGTTATACCCAGAAACTGTTCGCACTTCTATGTGAACTTTAGGACATATTTCAAAATACTAACACAAATCGTTAACAGAATATGGTTTAAATGTTAAAAAGAGAAAGTTATTCTTTCAGACATAGAAAAGAAAATGCATATCGGGAAACATTAAATTGTAAGCCCTGGTACAATCTGCCCAAAGCCCTCCCACAATTAGAGAAAAACACTTTTACTTTTGCTAAATTCCAGTTGTAGGCAAAGCATTGTCGAAGGGATCATTTAGAGGCTTGTAGTTACTTGCCATTCATTTTAAAATATGGAAATTCTCCACCCCTTACAGCATATGACATTTACTTAAAGACATGCAGATGTTTTTTTTTGTCTTTAATCATTTTAAAATCTGTGCAACCTACATCAAGCAAATAAAAAGAAAAAAAATATACTGCTTCCCTTTGTTTTATAAAAACGTATCACCCCAGCTATATGATTTAAAGTGTAACTCCAGCCAAAACATATTTCATCATATCTTATTTGCAGTTTGTTCTGCACTCCTGTAACCCATTTTCAGCCGACAGAGGGCTAAAGTCCGCTGCCGTCACTCAGCTGGTCCAGGATAGGTAAAGATCGCGATCATAAGGTCAGGACCCACCCAGGAACCTGGACCGACACCTGGCTCAGCCTCTCAGTGAGCCACTAAGAGTCTGAGCCAGCCAATCCTGTCCCTTCCACAGCCCAGCGCTCAAGTGAGTATGTGTTAAAAAAAAAATTCCCATACTTCTCTTTTAAGACTGGCAAGCCCCTACATTCTTCAAAAAAATAATGTACCCAATTGTAGTAAAAATTGAATGTGGAGGTACATTTTGTAGAAATAACTTAATATCAGAAAAAATAAATAACTGATGTATTGTTTGAATTGTAGAAACATACTGTATTTAGCTGATGTGTTTGGCTGGGTCTCTATTTTTCCCACAAAAAAAAAGCCTTTTATACAGATATGATAGAATGACGTGGCCATGGAAAATGAGAAGCCCAAGTAGCAACACAACTCATAAAAGAGTAACTTTGTGATATAAGATATCTTGATGCTATGCCCCATAGTCCCAACCTCATGGAAACAGATTTTCAGAAAATGTGATGTAAGGGCTTAATCTCACTGCTACACTGCTAACATCCATTTAAGCACCCTGGCATGCACTCAAAAAAGTTTCTTTTAATTTTAATAAGGGCAGTCCATATTAACACCCTTAGGGCTAGGCCAATACAATTGGAAGACATGTTTTTGGGCAAAATTGTTTCCTCCAGCAATGTGCATTTTCTATTCAAGTCAACTGAAAAAAGTCCTTCAAAATGTGGCTAAAACCTGAACCTGATAACATTTAAAATTTCCCATGCATTTACACATTTATTTTCCAATTCACTTAGTGTGCAAACAATATTCCATTTCATGTCTGTATAATGATTTCCATATCAATGTTCTGTATCAGAACACTACAGTTATCTATCATGTAGTTAAAAATAAATTGGTCTCATAGTCTACAACACAGTTATATTTGTGCAATGTTAAAATGACAAACCCCAAAACCATATACATTCAGTGCATGTCATAAAGTTTACAGAGAATATTTATTGAGGTGTAGAGGTTAGAACAGTGGAGGTGCTTGAGAATTCTGTTATCAAGGGGGCTCTGTAGCTTCATTTTGTCCTCCAGGTTTTCTAGCTGTGCTTTAGAAAATGCTTTTTGGCTGACGCTAACCATATACTATGATATATCTTTTAGCAGATATAATGAAGTTGCAAAATGCTCTGACAATTTTCTCATCTTTTTTACTTCTTCATCTAATTTATCATTTTGTTTAAATTTTCCTGCAAGTGTAGGGTGTTTTTGCCTAACCATAAATGCAGATACAATTATGTATCAGCCTCAACTTATCCTTACAATAAATTTTTTAAGTGTGGGCAAGGAAAACAGCTGGGCTGGATGGCTGTAAACATCAGACTGGATTGAAAACAATTGTGATATTTAATGAAATATGCTTCAGCTTAAACATTAATCTAATAGAAAACCAATGTTTCCGCTTTGGATTGATACCAGATTGTTTAATCACCTGCTGGTTTCCATTATTTTTCTGTGACTCCAGTGGTGATGTCTTTGAGTTCCCAATCCTATCAACTTGCCACAATTATTACAAGGAAGTCTTCTTGCAAAACTGGATCCCCCATTTATTTATTCTACGAAGAATACAATTGGAGGAGTCAGAAATCTATAAGAAACCAGCTTATGTCTTAAATCATTGCCTTTCCTTCAAAACAAAAATGTTTCAAAGTGGCCTTGCCTTTTATTGTCCACACTCCAACTCTAGTTTCTGAAAAAGCAAGTTGACAGGTATCATCTAATATAGTTATTAGCATACTATAATATTGGAACGCATTCTCCAAAATTAAACTATCAATAAAACTATCAATTACTAAACAACTTAAATGTTTTAACATATATAATTTTCAAAAGCATTTTAGATTTTTTTTTTTTATTGAATATCTACCCAGTGCACCTTAAACATACCACATGCAAATATTCTACCCCCCAAACAATTACAAAAACTATACAGTTCAAGACAGAAGCCGCTGACTTGGACAAACTGTTTTGGCAGGCACTGTACGTACATACCATGTACAGAAACATGCCAAAATTTCTTTGCATTGCTGTTTGCATTATACAAGTCAGAATTCTGATATATTTAGCGGTTACATTTACAAGGAAATTTGCAGCTCAATTATATATATATACATTACATAGGGAGTTCATTAGTATTAATACATTCCTTCTCCCCCCTTCCTAAAACAAAAAAATACATTTTATTTTTCACTCATTGCTCTTGTCGAAGATTTGGTAAAGAGAATGCAAATGCATTTCCAAGGTACTCAGAATTTCTCTTGTGCTCAGTGACATCAGTATGAGACAAACAATTTGAGGAGATTTCTTGAACACTGATGCACAGTAAGAATTGTGGATCTTGAATCCGCAGGTCCCCTCGTGATAATGCAAGAGCTTTAGATACATTATATTTTACAAATGGGCTCAGTTAGACGTAACGGGAAGTTTGCTGGCTTAGAAGAAGTTTTGACATCTCCATTAAGGTCACAGAAGGTTGATGTGCCTAGGTTTGTTGAGAGGTTTGGCAGAACTGTCGGCACATTTATAAAAGTGCAGCCTCAATGCTTCAGTGGCAGTGCTGTGTGAATGTATAGACACTTCCTCTTCATGCATTGGACCAAGCATTGGTATTCACATTGTCTTGAAAATAGGTTAACTAGAAGATCTACTTATAGTACACTCTACTGCTATTATACATTGCACTCTTGATTTTGGCACCCCCCTTTCCCAAATGTCAGTATTTACAACTAAAAAAAAAAAGACTACATTATTTACACCAGGCCAGAATTCCAGTTCCTGTGCTTACAATGCCTAGCTAGGCTTTACCTAACTGATAGAAGAGCCATCCTAATTACAGTTAATACTGGACTTGTGAGAGGGAGGACCACACTGTCTCCATCTTACAACTTCATTGAAAGGGCCTGTTGTACATTCGCTAAGAAGGAAGAAACTGATTGGAAAATGAAGCCGATGACAGGCAAATGACACTATTTGCCATAACTACAGTGATGTGTTAAGAAAGAATGGATGCTGAGGTGGGGAGATCAGACAGGGGTTGAATTTTTTTCTACTCTTCACGAAGCTGTAGACAGTAGCGGTGGTAGCGAAGCTGAAAGAACATTCTTTCTAGTAATGAATGTGTCATCCCCGGGACAGTGTGATTTTCAATGACACCCACATGCTTGAAACCCAAAGACTCGTACAGCTTGTGAGCTGCTATTTTCACAGCTGTAGTGCCAAGCACAATGGAGGAGTAGTGGTTTAACATGGCAAACTCCAGGACTTTGCGGCCTAAAGCCTTGGCAATTCCCTTCCCGCGGTAGTTGGAGTCTACAGACATCCGCCTTAGCTCGACTACGTTGTCTTCTTCATTGCCTCTGGCTGCCACTATTCCAACGATTTTGCCATCCAAGACTGCCACCCAGAAGCAAGAACCTGCAGAACACAAGTACACATCAGACAAGGGATAGTGTCTAATAAATATTTAACGAGAGGGAGATCCAGTTTAAGCATAACCATTTTAATACTGCATGAATAAGGATTTATCTCCCCAGCTATGGCCTTGAGGTAGCACTAAAAATACGATTTGTAACATGCCATTCCCTCTTCTACTATATGCAGCTGTGGGTACTACACAAAGGGGTTACAGGTAAATTGAAAAATTACAGTTTAAACAATCCCATCAGGCATTTTAAGCTTTGAAAGTATAATCCTAACTAAGAGCAGGAGCCACAAGAATTCTACTTTTAACTTTGATAACCAGAAATGCATCTCCTATGCCCCTACGATCATAGTTTAATTTTGTTAATCAATGCTTACCTTACCTGACTTTGAAGCTCAGCTTTACCCACCAATGAGACATTAACCATTTATGGCACACTCTTTAGTTATTGCAATGGTGGGAGGGCCTTAGCCCCAAAGTCAGAAAAATCATGATCTCATGAAAAAAGGATCAGGAAGGCACACAAAAAGAGGAATTTCTGGCTGGTAACTATAGCCTTGTAGTACCTGCTATCAGACAGATCTTTAAAGTGTCTTACAGGTTCACTTAATATGGAATACTTGATAACCTGAATCTATTTTTCCAATAAATGCGATACTGGAAGGTAGCACAGAAAAATAATCAAATTTGCAAATAAAGTGTATTACTTGTGAAGGAAAGTTTTGAAGTAATATATGACTACGTAATGAGATCTGCCTGGAGTATATCCCACACATCTAAACTCCTTGGTTCCTATATTGTGTTTTACTGCCTCTCTACTTGAGAGCCTAATGGACAGAGGTAGCTGTAACTATGTGACATGTATCTCAAAGCAAAACAATGTAATTTCAGTAATCTGTGTCATTAGATACAGTGGGGGATGTCCCAACAATGTACTTTACTCTTGCATATGGGTTGACCTTGCTAATTTCAAATGTAGTTGATAAAGCAGAGAATCATAATATGGTGATAAGTGAAGATGTGACATACATATGCAAAAGTCACTAACAAACTTTAGGTTTAATACAGGTAGTCTAAAGCACACTGTCTTCAGATGGAATTGCACCCTAGCATTTAGCAGGATCTATGAGCTTCTCAGCTGATGGCACTTTTTGGAGGACTAAAGGCTTCAAAATAATTCTTGAAATTCATTTATGTAGAACTTGTTGTTCCATAGTTTTCTTTCAGTTTTGTAGCTATTGGTTCGTCTATATCAATGACTTACCTTCTTTTCATTTTCCAATTTGTGGCTGGGAAACTAGACAGTGGTTGCTGTGGGTCAACAAATACAGTTCTTCTTTCAAACATTATACATGTGATGCCCTTGGTGGTTAGATACAGTGAAAGTTCTGAAATCCATCCGTCTGTGATGTTACTTGGAGGAGGCACAGTGACCCACATGGAGCCTGTGGACAATTTTCACCCACTACTGGATTTCTCAGTGTCAAAACCCCTAAACAAAAGACAGTTTTGGTCTGCTTTTAATCTTCTAAAATGGTTTCTAAAGACAACACCAAGTCCATTTAAGTGCCTGTCCTTATTGAGGATATAAAAACTGAGTAAAAAGGCACAGATGGGAGTCATTGATTCCTTCAAAGTCCCACCTTTCTCTGTGATGTCAATGTGAGTGCTGTCCAACAGATTAAACATATAAAGCGCTAATACATGTTTCAGGTGTGCAAAGATGAGAAGCTGGTAGTTTGGCATCCACAAAAGTTTAATGCCCACACTCTGAATCATTTTTTAGATAAACATGAGATGCAATTTTGTTGTTGATTTAAGCTTTGGGTGGACCTTTCACAAACAAAACATAGGGTCTTCCAGGGTCAACCTTAATAATGAAGGTTTGGGTAAAAATCTCAACAAATACATTTTAAACATGTGCCTTCCAAAATACACTAAAACCATTACCAGCTGAAAAATTTAGTACATTGTTAACCTCCAACATGGTACTCTGCTTTGTAGCATTATATTTGTAACTACAGTACAGGTGCTGTGAAATTCTACCATTACTGTTGGTATTGTTCTGTCACATGTTCTGTCCCCCTTTGTAATGTACAGTGCTGAGTGAACTATTGGCGCTTTATAAATACTGTATAATAATAATAATTACTGTGTAATAAATTACATACCTTTCAGAATGCAATTGTCTGAGAAAGAAGTAATAGTAGTCAAAAATCTGTGAAGGAATACTTTATGGCCCAAAGCAGCTAGTCACATTACATGCGTAAAAAGTAATGCAAACATCTAAATAACTGCCATGGGCAAAGCAAGCATTTTGTCCTAAACGGAAACACTTTGGGGTTGATTTACTAAAAACTGGAGAGTGCAAAATCTAGTGCAGCTCTGCATTGAAAATCAATCAGCTTTCATCTTAACTGAACAAGCTGAAGTCAGAAGCTGATTGAATATCATGTACAGCTGCACCAGATTTTGCACTCTCCAGTTTTGGTAAATCAACCCCTTTATGACTGACATATACTGTGGGTAGTTTGGAACACGTTTTTTTAGATGACAAATGTGTGCATATTTCTAAAAAGACCTGTAAACATATATGAACTTCATGTTGCCAGGTTGGCAGAACAATCTTGAAGAATCCCAAAGATCTTTTTAGCTGCTGACATCATTCCCGTTAACTTTAATGGGAGCTGAGCACAGATCTCTGTTTAGCTGTATCACACCTCTATAAATATCATTCATCTTCTTTCCACTTCAGTGTTTTCTAAGAAATACTCCACCAGAAAAGGTCAATTGTCTTAAATATTGATTTTTTTTTTTCTCTGATGCAGCATAAGAGAAAACTAAACGATGTAAAATCTATTGTGCTGCAGAGCTCGGAAAATGGTGGTAATGCCAGAATGTAAAGCAACCATATCAGAGACTGGAGGCCTTTGCTACTACTTTGTGTTTTGTTTTACAACCTCTTGACAAGTGTGTATGCTACAATCTGCAGTTACAGCCTCAGGGTTGGCCAATTTTGCACAGCCTGTACAGACCATTTGCTGCTCAGCATTCTGCATCTGTGTTCACTGTAAGCAGTTTTACTGTCATGCACTCTTTCTCATGGCATTATCTGGGTGGCTGGTCATCCAGCTTAAAGCACGATGGACTGGGTAGAATTTATCAAGTTACCTTTGATGATCTAGTAATTTTATCACTTATTTTTATTGGCAAGCTGTTAATTAACCTTTTTTTTTCAGTGCTGTTGTTTGTATCGTGTAATTCCTCAAACACCAAAGCCATTTAACATCCTTAAAGTGACTTTGCAACTATTCTAATGTTACTCGGTCAGATCTACCTATAAAAGAAGAGTCTACATATCAACCTTTTCTACTGAACATGTCCCATTCCAGAGAAGAGGGTCCCCTGGAGCATTCACTAGTATCTTTTGCTGACCTCCACAGTAGGGACATTGCCATGATATGGAGGAAAAAAAGTAGCTGGGTGAGGATTAGAACAGTAAAGAGAGCTCAGAGTGAGTTGAGATTAATTTCCTTGTGCTGGCCTTTAAACCGTTTTACACTCTGGCATCATGCTGACAAGAAACTGCTCTCCAGATGTCCAAATGTACCTCAACTTGCAGAGGGTACTGTTCTTTGTTAGGTGTCATGCCTTCTACCTTTGTCCTGAGAACAAAAAAAAAACAACTAGATTTTGCTCAATGACGGTTGTAATTGCTTCTATAGTTATAGTAATCTAATGTGACTAATTGAATTAAAAGCTACGGCTAATAGAAAGTAAAATCTAATTTCATTTTAAGTTCAACATGAAAAAGTGTACTTAGAACACCCATTAGAACTCATGTGACAAAAATTGCTGTTGAGCAGTTATACGTGAGACAAGAAAATGATTGATATAAAAAGCTGAGCTCGTCCAGAAGGGCAGCTATGATAAGTGTTTGATATGATGATTTAAGATGGATTTTATTCATGCCATTACTTTCCATAGTCTCCAAGTGTTTCTCAGATATGAAAGGCTGTGAGCTGTATTTCCAATTCCTTTCTAAAAGCCTCATGAATATACAGATTACAGAGGCATCATGTAACCATTTTTCGTGCTCATTTAGCTGGAGACTTGCAAGGCAATGTGATAAAAGTGTCAGCCATAAACTGCATCTCAGGCACAAAATTTTAGAGATGTGCACACCAGAAAAAATGGTTTTGAAATCGTTCATCAAGTTAATAATTTACTTTCTTCATATTTGTTTATTTTAGACATTTTTTTGAAAAGAAATTAGTTTTTTATATTAGAATTTGTTTCATATATTAGTTATTTTCAAATCAATTCAAATTTTGGACGATGGCTATATTTGCTCTATTTTATTCTATGCCATTTTTTCTATTCTATTTATTTTTTTTTTCTTTTATTTTCTATTCTATTTTGTTTTATTCTGTTCTGTTTTAATCTGTTCTATTATTTTCTATTCTATTTTTTTTCTACTCTATTCGATTTTTTTTATCTTCTTTTCTATTTTATGTCAATTTTTTATATTACAGGGAGCATCACAAACTTGGAATGCAATTATTTCTTACAATTTTGAGAAGATGCCAATAATTTTGTCCAGTCCACTTTTGGGGTTTTGCATGGAATGTGTCAGATTTGGCTTTTTGTTTCTCCACTTTTTTGTGTCATACCAATACAAACAAAAGAAATAAACAAGAGGGTGCCTAAACATTTGTAATTGCAACAATTTTCTAGGTGAAGTGGTGCATTATGGGACAGAAATTCAGGGGTGCCAATATGTTTGGCATGACTGTATATTATATCCTTTTTTCTTTCCTATTCTCTTCTTTTCTATTCTGTTTGTTGATATTCTATTTTATTAAATTTTTTTCTATTCTAATCTTTTATTTTCTACTTTATTCTATAAAGCAGCCTAAGCAGGAAACATCATCTTATTTCAGTT